GCTGTGGGGGATACATGGTAATCCTTGTTCCCTGCCTTGAGGAAATACTCTTTGCTGAGGAGACAAGAGCAGCATGTATTAGAAATTCATCAATCACATGAATTAAAAGACAGAAAACACAGAAATAAATTAATAATATGATCTGTAAATTAACCAGGAGGTATTATGATCTTCATACAATTAAGTGCCCAGTTAGAGTTAAGGCGGTTTATATGAGAGAGCTCCTCGTAAAAAGAACCTGCATGAGTTCAGTAGATCAGAGAAAGTTTCATGGAGGAGGATGAAATTGAGCTGCGTTCAGCATGCCCAGGAGATGAGGCCCGATGGCTTCTTTGCAGTTACACTAAGGCAGGAATGAGCGCAGTGTTTCCTGAGAGCCAGTGGACCAGTCGGGCTGAAGAAGAGGAGGCGGGTTTATATGAAGGATAGTTGAGGATAACATGAGGAAGTGGGTTCAAATTATGGGAGTCCATCTGGGAAGCCACTGGTGTCATATCTGGGGATGTGACTGGCTCTGAATGCTGAGGATCCTGTGATGAGGCTGGAGTTAGGAGGATGGACCCAGTCTTACCTGCTCATAAGAAGTCTTAAGTGGAGATAAGAATTTGGTTCTGGGGTGCATGATGGGTATAGTTAGGGTGATCAGTTGTCCTGGTTTGCCTCGGACTCTCCCAGTTTTTTAGCACTGAAAGTGGGAAACCCTCAGTCCCTGGCAAACTGGATGGTTGGTGACTTTAGGTATAGTTCAGAAAAGTGATTGGTATCAGGAGGTCCAAATCAGAGTAGCAGAATTAGCATGTTAGCAGGTAAACAGAGCATGGCAAGAAGGAATCCAGGGCAGGGCCTTTCAGAGTTCTGATAGGCAGTCAGCAGAGTTGGATTATATGTTGGTTGAGGGAATTTTGGCCCAATGAAATTAAGTCAAAAGCAACATTGACAAAGAAGCTAGGTTTGTGTGACAGTTCGGTTCAAACAGATTTTTGAAAAAAAAATGAATGTTTTGACTTACTGGCTTTTAAGCATTGTTAAATGATAATAATAGTAAGTACCATCCATGAATGCTTACCATGTGTCAGATACCTTGCTAGATTTAAAAAAATATTATCACCTTTAATCCTCACAACCATCCTATTAGGTAGACACTGTTATTTTCTCCATTTTATAGATAAGGAAACTGATGGTTTGAGAGATTAAGCTGTCCACCTAGTCACATGGCTAATTAACCTCAGAATGAGACTTTGAACCCAGGACAGCGCAAAGCTCTTAGTTACCATATAGTCCAGTCCCTGATATTGCGGAACAGGAGCTTTAAAATTATTTATTATTCTCTTTTATAACAAAAGTAATACATACTAATTCTAGAAAAATAAAATACAGACAAGCAGAAGAAGACTATACAAAACATTTACAATTCCCTCCACTTAGAAACAATTACTATTAACATCCTTGTTTATATATCCTCCCACATCTTTTTTTTTTACTGTTAACATCCTTGTTTATATATCTTTCCACATCTTTTTCTTTTGTGGGCATATTGTGAGAAATACACACACACACACACACACACACACACACAATTTTTTAAATGACATTTCACAAGTCTTATTTTAAAATCAATTGTGAGACATTTAATTTTTCTCAGTTATGGTGTTAGACATTTAGGCTGTTATACCTTTTTGATATTATAAACAGTTTACAATAGAAATCATTAGCTGAAAATGATTTACAAATAAAATGAAACAAGACTAAAAAATCTGAAAAATTCTGAACAATGGACAGTAATACAAGAGATGAATAACAATTGTAAAATCACTCACTCTATGTGGACTCAATACCAATACTATGAAAACCAGTGGCTGAGGGATAGTTACTTTCGACCAGACCTTGATTTTGACCAGCTCTTCTTTTTTTAGTTAAAATGTTTTCAGCAAAATTACCTGAAGCCAGTGGCAGCGGGGAATTATGTGAGCAATAAGCAGATGCCAACCCCTAGGAGGATTCACAGGAAGGCCTCAATCCCTAGGAAGTGAATGCCACCTAGTGATTATGTTACGGAGGGGCTGTGTCCAGGGGACTAAGCCAAAGACTCAGTGACCTGAAATGATAGAGGTAAGAAGGAGAACTAAATCTGAAGATCAAAATATTAAAATACTTATCAAAACTGGAGCACAGGGTCGTAGCTAGGCTAATGACAACAGGGACTTGATGCTGAGTCCCAGCGTGTTGGCCTAGAGCTTCTTAAGACTTTCCTGTCTGAGAGCAGGGGATTGGACCTGGGGTGATCCGACAGGTGGGGAAATGGCCCCTGAGAGCTCCAGAGATTAGGAATCTGACAGGTTCTGACAATCAGAGATTTCGAAGAAGGAGAATAACCTAGTGGAGAGTTGTGGGGTGACTTAACAGTGTGGTGTAGGCAAGGAAGCATTTTAAGAGGATACTTCTTAAAATCATTGCAGTGGCAAAGAAAAAAGGAAGAGACTCAGTCTGGATCTATATCTAGAAAGCTATCTAAACTGTTACCATGAACTCAGTAGATGGGAATAAACAATTATATTCCTCTTTGTATCAATTTCTTTGCATCGCGTTTTTGGTATGAAGAGAAAACGTGATTGGTTGTTGGAGACTATAATGTTGCCATTACTTTTATTGAATTGAATTTTTATCTGGTATATTAAAATGTTCCTCTTTTATTACAAAGACCCTAACTAGACATGTCATGCCTTATGATTACAGTTTGTTAATTTTGTCATGTTTTAAAATTAAAAAACATTCTTTTCTTGGCGTTATGAAGGCCACCACAAAATGAATGGTTAATACCTTGGAAAGATGGTTCAATTAACTTTCTTGGCTGTTGATCAGATAAGCATAAGATTTATGATCGTATTCTGAAGTCTTCGTTAGGTGAGCCCTTTGTTGCTCCCGTAAACCTCCCAGCAAGTAGTTTTCAAATCCCAGGAGGTGCCATCTCTAAGTTAAATGTAAAGAAAGCCTCTTTTTGCTGAGTGTTTATATAGCTTTTTGTTTGCTCGTTTTTGTTTTCAGTAAGAGTAACTGTTGCACGGAAGTTAATTCAGAATTTTTAATTAGAAATAGACAGTTCTTTATGTTTCTGGAGATATGAAATTCGAAAACTTCCAAGAATGCGGTAACTATTCCAGGAACGCCTCTTAATTAACTGCAGCTAGTGGTTGGATTTGCTTCATTGCTTTGAACTTTTCAGTCAAGCCTCCCTTCCACAGTGTGTGATGGATGTGATGATCATTTGTCTTTCTTTCATGGTATTTTCTAATATATACTGTTTTTAAAATTAAAAAAAGCAACACATATAAAAAGTTAAAGGAATATTGAATACAGATCACCCCTTCCTTATCCTTCTCAAAATGATGACTGATAACAGTTTGATGTGTATCCTTCCAGTTTATCTTGGAGATTCTGCGTATGTATACATACATATAGGATGTCATTATGCACTCCTCTTCTTCCTCCCCCTTACTTCCTCCTCCTTATCGTAAGTGCTCTGTATTGCCAGAGGAAAGGGGGCTTTATTCTGTGTTTTGTGCTTTACGGAATTTCATTCCTGGTTGAAACTTACTTTGTTTGGCCTTTCCTTGCCTTGCCCACGGTGAACCCAAAACCAAACCCATTGCCGTTGAGTCAATTCCGACTCATAGCGACCCTATAGGGCAGAGTAGAACTGCCTCATGGGGTTTCCAAGGAGCTGCTGGTGGATACGAACTGCCAACCTTTTGTTAGCAGCCGTAGCTCCCAACCACTGCACCACCAGGGCTCCTGCCCGCTGTGGAGGTTCAGTAAGTTCAGCCTGTGTTTTCTCTTTCCTCGGTAGCCTAACTAGGAGCCCTCCCAGGATAGATCCTCAACCATGTAAAAGAGGGCGATTCTGATGCTTTCTCTTGGGGACAGCCATCTAAGCAGCCCCCGTTCTGTCTTCTCCAGTGTTTGGCACCAGGACCAGAGGGATTTTTTTTTTACTAGCTGATTTCAAGCATGAAGTTTCTCTGGGGTTTCTCTCCTGTGTCTGTTACTGGTTCAGGTTTCCTCTGCTTTAGTTGTCTATCAGTTCAACTCTGTCTGATTTCTGTCTTCTAGAATTTTCTCAAAATTTTTGGCATGTTGATGGTAGATCTCCCCACAACCCCTTTCTCTTTTCTGTCATTTATGTGAGACTTGGGGCGTCTGAAGAGATGAGCCATGCATGGAGCTCAGTTACTGTCTTGAACTCCCACATGTCTAGTCTTTCTTCTCTATTTCTGGTCCAGCTTTTTGGGGAATCTTTCAGAGTTTGTTTGCAGTTCCTCTAATTTGTACTGTTACTTGGAAGCATCTTTTTTTTTTTCCCCACCAATGTGCATTTAATATTAATCATAATGAGATCATTATCTCATTGTTCTCCATTTGGGTACATAAATGACACTATTATTTAACAAACTTTTTCTACTGGATTTATGGACCACCACAAGGTGTTAGTTGCAGAAGCTGAATTAATGATGCAAAATTCACTTTTACAAGTATAACTAAAAAAACAGACCAAAAAAACCACCCTCACTGTCATTGAGTCGATTCTGACTCATAGCGGCCCCATAGGGTTTCCAAGGTTGTAAATCTTTATGGAAGCTGACTGCCATATCTTTCTCCCGTGGAGCCACTGGTGATTTCAGACTGACAAACTTTTGGTTGGCAGTCAGGTGATTTAACCACTGCACCACTGGGGCTCCTTTAGTTACAACTATAGCTAATTATCCTTATTTCATTTGATAGATATAAACAAGTCACAATTTCTTTATAATATATATTTACATTTTATTTGCCAGGTTACCGAGTATTATCAGTTAACCTTTTCAATATCCAGATCAGTTGGAGATACAGAAAATAATGTAATGGTAACTATTCATGGGCACGTGGTACTCAATGAATGGATCTTAAAATGATTTCATAATTATTATCAGAAACAAATTAATGGCCCAGCATTTTTCCCCCCTCAGGAAGGAGAAAACATTTTTTATTTGGCAATTGAAGACATAGAAACAGATACAGAGCTTCTGATTGGCTACCTGGACAGTGATATGGAGGCCGACGAGGAAGAACAGCAAATTATGACAGTGATCAAAGAAGGGGAAGTTAAAAATTCTAAAGCACAATCAACAGCTGGCAGAAAAGGTATTTTATCTTTAATTAATGTTCTCAGAGAAAGAAAGTTGTAGGTGAAATATTGTTTGAATCATAGTTGAATTATAGTTGCATTGTAATAGGGCGTTCTCAAATTAAAGTTAGTTTTTGTCAAAACCACCCTCAAGGGAGTCCGGCTGTGTACTCACCTTTCATACAGTGGGAGCAGAATGCTGGTGTGGTGATGGGTTTGTCTTGTAGAGTTGCCATGGTAAGGGGCAGAGCTGCGTTGCTGGGGCAGCTCCTGGCTCTCCCTGCTCTCAGGGGCGTGGTAGGGCATGAGTAGTGGGGACGTTTATGCTGTAGACCTGGCTCTGCCACTCATTAGTCTTGTAGCATTGGGTAAGTCACTAACCCTTTGAGACTTCACTTTCTCATCTGCTAATAGTGAAAGATGAATACAGAGGGGTGCAGGAGGCAAAGAAGAGGCCCTGCTGGGTACTAGGGGGTTGCTTCCTGGGCTTTGCTTTTGTTTGAGATCCTTTGAGAATCTGGGGCTTCTGGGAGTCTCTTTATTTTCTGATCACAGAGGCCTGCAGGATTGTGAGGTCTTCTAGTGTGGTAACCAAAAGCTTGCAGTGAGCCTGGGTCAGACCTGTTTCAATCAGTCCTATAAGCCAGGAGATACATGTCCTGAAAGATGTATTTTCTTTTACTGACCTCACTTTCTTGTCATCGGCTGGGGGATAATCAGTTATTGTTAGACCTTGTGTCTCTTACATTGTGTTTTACTCCTGGTGGGGTTTGAGGGAAGTATGAATGATGTTATAGGTGTTCACATTTTGTCATAGGTTGATATTTACTGTGTAATGTTTTTCCGTTTTGTTTAGCACAGCCACTTCAGAAGCCACACTGGTTTTGTTAGTAGCAGTAATAGTAATGCCTTTTATATGAACTTTCTATTCTAACTGTATGTCATTGGCTGAGAAAGTATGAGCATTCTCTCGGAGTGGCTAGCCTTTGCTTCTGTTTACTTTGCTTCTGTGATTATTTAAGGGGAAGATGGGGACAGGCTTAGTCTACTGTGTTTTTTAAACGTGCACTATGCTATTTGGAACGCCATATTTGGGGTGATGGGCACTATTTCTGTATTATTCTGTTTTCTTTGTTTTTCTCAGTCATTTTCAGGGCTTGTTATTATTGCATCTATTATTTAAACTAAATAATGTCTCTTGCTTATCTGTCGCCATCCCCGATTACTATTTTCATTATCAAAATATCAGTTTTCATTCTTTGTAGAAAGAATTAATAGAAACTTTGACATGTTTTTTTAGACATACAAATCAGGTACTTCCATTATTGCTATTTTTATCTTAGGCTTTTTAGTGCCTTGTTTGTAAGGCTAAAAAAAAAAAGGAAAGCTTTCAAATGTCTAATAATGGAGAGTTTGGTTAAATAAATTATGGTATCCCAAGTTTAAAAACAAAAACAAAAACGTGACTTGAGAAAATGTTAAATAGAGAAAGAAAGGCAACATATAATATTGCACATAAAGTATGATCATAAATGTCGTTATCTAGAGATGCATAAAATATATATGCACAAAAGAGAAATCTGACATGGTTGTCTCCTTATGATGGAGTAATTGGTGATATTTATTTTCTTATATTTTCTGCATGTTCTAACTTTATGTTATAATCGGAAAAAACATATATAATTGAAATAGCACACTTTGAGAAATTAGAATTGTGTCTGTCTCTGTGGGATTCATGAGCCCTAGAGAGAGAGTGGAACCTTCTGACGCCCGCTGTAATGAACGCTGTTTTTAAGACTTCAGTATGTTTTCATGTACAGGCTAGATTCTCCTTGGAGTTCAGCATAGTTTACTTCCGTTGAAGTTTTCCCCTCATGCAGCTAAAAGTGAACTAGAGATGACCCATTTAGAGAGAGCTTGTTTTACAGCTCAACGTTTGTAATAACTCTCTGAGCTGAAAAATTAACACTAATAGGGTAAGCAAACACTTGAATTTCATTTTGAATTAATTTGGTGAAAATCAAGCAAAATGATTTAAAAATAATCCCTTTCCTCTATTAACACTTTCTATTATTTTTCATGGACAACACTATAACTGTTCACAGAGATAATAACAATTTACTAACATACTACCATTAAACCTGTTGCCATCGAGTTGATTCTGACTCATAACGACCCTATAGGACAGAGTAGAATTGTCCCATAGGGTTTCCGGAGACTGGCTGGTGGATTCAAACTGCTGAACTTTCGATCGCAGCTGTAGCTCTTAACCACGATGTCACCAGGGCTCCATAGTACCGTTAAACACAGTTATTTTTTATTTTAAAATGAAAAGAAAACTGAAGAGTTCTTGGCTCTGAAATTTTGTCTAATAAATGTGCTTCATTATAAATGTGCAGATCGCCTTGGCTGTAAAGAGGACTATGCCTGTCCCCAGTGTGAATCGAGTTTTACCAGTGAGGAAATTCTTGCTGAGCATCTTCAGACGTTACATCAAAAGCCCACAGAGGAGAAAGAATTTAAGTGCAAGAACTGTGGGAAGAAATTCCCAGTGAAACAGGCTTTGCAAAGACAGTGCGTACATTAATGAATATCTTTAAGATTATAAACTAATACTTTGTTTAACTATTTCGTTTGGTTTGTCTTACAGTTTCTAACGTGTGTGTGGATATACGAGAGACAGAAATTAAACATTTTGCATTGCATTGTCATTATCTGGTCTTTTCCTAGTATAGTGTGTTTCTTCTGAAATATTCTGATTATGAAACTTAACAAGTAAACGTGATTTATGTGAATCGGTCCTTGTCCATTTAATAACTTGTCCTGAAATTCCAAGTTCACTGGTTTCCTAAACTGAAATTCAGATATCCATAATTTGGCTAGTGCTTTAAAGTCAGAGTTCAAGTTTCAGTCATCTGCATTAGATATTTCCTCTGGAATCAGAAAAAAAAAATGTTTAAGAAATGGAATAACTTAGAGTATAAAGAATACGTGGACATTTTGAGAAGCATTGCTTATTTCACAGCAATTTCGAGGAATAATTTGAAGAAGGGTAGGTACAAGGAAATGACAGTAGGATGAATAACTTGATTCCCCATACATTGCACTACACACTTAATTACTTTATTTACATTTCCAGTCGCCACTGAGTCGGTTCTGACTCATGGAGACCCTATAGTACAGAGTACAACTGCCCGTAGGGTTTCCAAAGCTGTAATCTTATGGAAACAGACGGTCACATCTTTCTCTCATAGAGCAGCTGGTGGGTTTGAACCACCAGCATTTCCTTTAGCAGCTGAGTGCTTAACCACTGTGCCACCCGGGTTCCTTAACTGTTTATGTTAACAGCATACGAAATTATGCTTTTACCCTTAAGTATTTTTCAGGATCATTATTATTAGAAGGGAGGAAATAGGTACACTTGTTTGTAAATTTTATTTTTAACAGAATGTTAATATAATCATCTCGCATATGAGCAGGAACCTTTAACATAGGGTTAAAGTTAATGTTCCTTTTTTTTTTTTACTTCATTAAAGCAAAAATTCTGAAATGTGCTACATTTCATATTAATATTATTCCCACATATTGTATACGTTGGCTTTTGCTTATAAAATTTTAGATGCAAAATTTCTGCTCAAAACTTAAACTTAGAAAATGTTTAAAAAACTGTAACTTTTATAATAGCACATTTGGAGATTTCATTGCAGGTGATTAAAAAAATAAAACAAGCAAGGAATATATACTTTTTTAATAAATGGACTTTAAAATTGCATTATTGTTGCCTTTTATTGCATTTAGTTTTATATGACCTACATGAAAGACGCTCTTGCTGAGCTGGGGCCTGTAATTTAATAAGATACTACTAAAAATTTAAAAAGGCAAAAGACAGACTGAAAAGAGAGATGACAAGCATGGATTTATTCAAAAGGGTATATTGTGTGTTTGTCTTAGACTTCCGGTGGTTTTTTTTTTGTATTTCCCTTCAGTGTTCTTCAATGCACAGCGAAAAGCAGTCTGCAGGATTCTTCACGAAGTTTTCAGTGCTCTGTTTGCAATTCCTCCTTCAGTTCAGCATCGAGGTTTTGTGTCTGAGTGTCAGATTGCTGTTATATAATTGTGGATCATTTTTGGCTTGCATGCTTTCATGCTTCTTAGTGATTCAGTGTCTTACGGCTACAGAATTTCAGTGCTTTCCTTTTTACCTGCAGAGGTAATGCATGAAATGACCTTGGAACTCAACTAGGGAGCATGTATTACAAAAGCTTGCTGTGATGTTGGAAGTCTGTAAATATGTCTTCACCTTTTCTTCTCCATGTTCCTCTTTGCTGGCCGTCTTGTAGTTTTGAGCAGCACCGAGAGACTTGCCGAGGGGACACCAGGTTCGTGTGCAAGGCCGATAGCTGTGGAAAGAGGCTGAAGAGCAAGGATGCCCTCAGAAGACACCAGGAGAACGTCCATACTGGTGAGGAGTCATTGGAGGGGCGTTTTTAAAGGGATTTCCTCTCCCCAGGCTGCAGTGATCTGTTTTCAATGCTCACTCTCAAGGAGAGAGTTTGCTTTTCCACTGTAGTTCATGCAGATGTGTACTTCTGGCACTGGATTTTGTTTCTTTCATTGAACACTCTATTTCTTTTTCAAGTTGATTTCAGCAACATTTGTCATTTTTCCACCTTTAAATTAATCCTAACTAAACCTAAGCTGGAATCTAGTTGTGCTGGGCAGTCAAATACATTAAGAACTAATAGTTTAAGTAACAATTTCAGATTTCAGCTTATGAAATTTTTTTTTACAGAAATTGTTGGAATTGACTATTTTAGATACATTTTAAAACTAATTATTAAGAGATGCCCCTCTGATTTAGTATTTCTATATTAAAATGCCAGTTTTTAATGCTTATATTTCTCCTATTTTGGAGAAAATTAGTGGCTGCATTTTAATACAGGAATTGAGTATGTTTGGATTAATAATGTATGTATTTGACTTCCTTCTAATGGCTAGCTAAACAATAATACAAAAATAAAATTGACTGTCCATTATATTACATCTTCTTAGCACATGGTAGGCAGTCAATAAACGTATTTTGGTTTAGGGACTGAATGTATTGCATTGTGTTGAACGGATGTTTGTATTGTCAGAATTGACGTTTTACTTAGTATCTTTTCCTTAATGGGTACTGAGGTTCATGGAACTCCTTGTATCCTTCTGTGCCTGTACTTTTCTCATGTGTTCACTTCTGCCCTTCCTTGGCTTCTGGGAATGAGTGAAAATGTTGTTGTTCATTGCCCTTGGGTCTGCTGGGACTCATGGTGACCCCTGTAAGTGCAGAGTAGAACTGCTCCATAGGGTTTTCAGGGCTGTGACCTGTCAGAAGCAGACCACCAGGCCTGTCTTCCGAGGCACCTCTGGGTGGGTTCAAACTGCCAACCTTTAGGCTGCTAGTCAAGTGCTTAACCATTTGTGCTACTCAGGGACTCGAGTGAAGGTACCTGTCTGGATATACAGATGTGGATTTCTTTTCTCTTGTTTGTTCTCATATTCAGTAGAAATGGATAATCGGTATCCAGCCTCTGTGTCCTCAGTGTTGATTATCCAAAAAGTGTCTAATAGTGAAGTGATAAGGGGATTTGGGCATGACTCTGGCTCCAACCTTGCATCCTTGGTTGGGACTGCACGTTAAGTGCAAGCTGTGTACGGAACCTCTAGAGGTGAGTGCTCTGTCAGATGCAGCCTTGGGAGGAACCTCTAGAGGTGAGTGCTCTGTCATATGCAGCCTCGGGAGGATGCCCATCACCAGGGCTGTATAGTGGAACTCCTTGTGTCTTTCTGTGCATGCACTTTTCTTTTTTCCTTTTAAAGAATATATGACTGATTTAGGGAAGATGACACTTTTAAGAATTCATTATATTTGTGTCTTCTCTTCGTATGCAAAAAGCAAGCATAATTTTTGATATTCTTGCCTTTGTATATATATAGATTTTAAAGCTGTTATGGTTAAAATGCTGTTCTTAATTTTCTCCATCTTTGTCTGCAATGTATTGTAACGAATCTTTCATGTTAGTTTTGAAGTTAACTTTGCTGAACTAAGTAAAAAACCAGATGCACACTGAAGCTCTGGAAACCTTTCGTGTTCTTGTTACTGGGCATGTGGTCTTCAGGCTGTGCTGTAAACATACTTTCTTTGAGGCTTCTTCTAATTGGCCTTGAATATAATATTACTGATTCTGGAAATTCATCATGATTTTATAGGAAATAATTTATGAAAAGGCAATTTTGTTTTATTTTTCCAGTGTGCTTGTGGATCATATAAACTGTGAACTCTTACCATATTTTAGCCAAAGACCACCAGGTATGCCTTTTGCCAGGCTTGGTGCACAATCTTCTTCCCTCATTCATAGCCTTCTGTCACATCTCCCCTTTCCTTCTCCCCAGCCCTAGGCCTTCTCTCTTGCCTTTTCTTTTATCCTTCCTCTCTCCCTTTCCCATTAGATTTCTTTGCTTTTGACTCCTTGTAACTCTTCATGTAGCATTTGGGGTTAAACACTAAGAATCAGTTATAAAATGAGTTACTTAGTTTTTTCTTTGAAGGAAATTATCATTCTCTGCTAAAAATAAATATAATACTTTTCAAACTTATTAGTCTCTCTACCCACATATTTAAGTCATTCATTAATTCAAAAACTGCTTTTAAGTAGCATTGTTTAAAGTGCTGGGGATACATAACAGAAAAAGCTAGACGGAGTCCATGCTCTCAAGGAGCTTCCTTTTTAATGGGGGAGACAGAATATAAACCCACAAAAACGTATGTGTGGTAGAGATATGTCAGGTGAGGGTAAAGGCTATGAAAAGAAGTAAAGCAGGGTCTAAGGGTTAGTGCAGAGGATCCTTAGCTTTTGTGTGTTGTGGAGCCTTTTGCAAACAGTGTTTTTAAATTTATAAAATAAAATATGTGTGACTACAAAGGAACCAATTTATTGATATGTAGTTATCAATAATTTAAAAATTGTACTATAGTAATGTGTGTGCTTCTTTATTCATGCGTTATTTAAGAAGATCTGGCAGCAGATCTAGTACCTATTATAATTTTAAGGTAATGATATGTATAAACCCAATTTTATAATATCTATAATTGCAATTTAATATGAAATATATATATTTATTGGTGACAAAATCATAGGTACTGTAGTACTACTGTGTTCGGTTGCCCAGATTTATAATTGAAAGGAAATGTTAAATTTCAGTTAGAGGTTAGTGAATAGAAATATATTTTTGCCATCCATGTTCACAGATTGCCTGGGATAAAGAATGACAGCAGAGGGATGCTATTTTATGTGGTGTGGTCAGAAAAGGCCTCAGATGAGGTGACAGTTGAGCAGAAACCTTAATGAAGTGAAGGGTGAAGTGTACAGACATTTGGGGAAAGGATATACCATATTGGGAATAGCAACTGCATAGGTCCTTAAGCAAAGCAGTGCTCACACATATGGTTGTAGAATCCTTTACTATAGAAAGGCAAAGTTGCTCAAGGAGTGAGAATACTTTGCAGCTTCTACCACTGATGATGAGAGATGTTTCTTGTTAGGTGATATGAATTGAAGATGCTGAGAAGAAAGAAGCTGAATTTTTAAATATGTATCACATTTTTCCATAGAAACTATAAGATGTGGTGGTCTCAGACAAGCTCCCAGAAGCATGCTTAACCCACAGTGTACTGAAACTTGTAGTACTTCAGTAACTACTTATTTGGAACACTTGTGTTAATTTCTCAGGTGGTCTCCTACTTCTGTAAGTTATGTGTTCCTGAAAATATTTTTGGAAGTTGAATCTGAAAGTCAAACATCAGACTTACCTAAATATAAACCAAAACCAAAACCCAAACCTGTTCCTGTCGAGTCGATTCCGACTCATAGCGACCCTGTAGGACAGAGTAGAACTGCCCCATAGGGTTTCCAAGGAGTGCCTGGTGGATTTGAACTGCCAACCTTTTTCAGTCAGCAGCCAAGGTCTTTAACCACTGTGCAACCAGAGCACCTGTCTGAATATAGGAGAACTAAAATAGTCATAAAGTCTCTAGTGATGACTTCATAGGTGCTTCCTTCCTGAACCTAGGCAGCCTTCAGTTACCCAAGAGGAAACAAAGAGAGTAAAGGGACTGACTTCTTCATCCACTTCCCATCTTTGTCTTTGGCTTAGATTCTGTGGGTGCTAATAGAGGGACTTGTGTTTATGGGAGATAAAATTTATCTGCATTCTCAGATTAAAAGAGTTATATGTGTTTCTTGTTTCTTCTCAAAGGAGCTAGGATTCCTGTTCTAGGATGAAGAATAGGAAAAGCCTTGGGAAGGAGAGAGAAAGGTGAAGAGTAGGGATGGGAGTTTGGAACCACCGGTGGGTTCGAACAGCCAACGTTTTGGTTGGCAGCTGAGCACTTAACCATTGTGCCACTGGGGCTCCTTCCCCTCCAATCCCCGTCTACTTAGTGGAAAGTAAAGAGGAGTTATAGAGGCAAGATATATATTTTGGAGGCTGAGTTATTCTTTCATTTTGTAAATGTCCTCAGAATCTGTAGTAAAATCACCATAATATTAACAGCTGCATCCTCTGCAAATGATTTCACCATTTAGCCAGCCTACACCCCAACACCAAACATTCTGTCCTTCATCCTGCACATAAAATCGTTCACTTAATCCTGTTGATACTGCCTGAGAAAAGTCTCTCTAACATACCATTTTCTTCCCATCCCCACTGCTGCTGTCTTAGCTTGCCCCTGATTGTCTTTTATCTTGACGATCACGGCAGCCCACTACTGTGTCTCCTCAACTCTCATTGTCCTCCTCCTAGTCTTACTAATTCCAGAGTGATCTTTCTAATACACCAGTGTACCTATAAGCTGATTTGGGATATAATGTTTTAGGTATTGATTCATCACACTTCCTAAATAAATTGCTTTTTCCATTTTGCTTAATTATAAATACTTTCTCCTCCATGTATAATTTGAGAAGATTTGCATGTTCAGGTAATATGTTTCATGGGCCTTTCAGTTTAAGTAAATAACTCTGAAGTGCTCTGTAATAAAATACCTGCTTGGCATTCTGTGATAAATTTGAAACTATGATAAATGGACAGAACTAATTAAATACTTGGCCACTTTTTAGTTGAACTCTTAGAAAAGAAAGTATGTCTGGTGCAGAATCTTTAACTCCACAATTTATTTAGTCTGTTAATTACCAATATCTATTAATTACAAATGTTTGGAAAAGTAAAATCCTGCAATGTTTAGATTTGTATTTATTGTAAATTTAAATACCTAATAATTGAACATGTGTAAATAACTTTTTTAATTTTGATTCAGAATATTTCACTGGAATTGTGTATGTATGTGATCTTGAGTGCTTATACATCTTAAATTTTTATCAGCTTCTTAGAGTTGTGGATACTTCCCTGATATGTAGTGCTGCAATAAGGATTTTATGTATTCAAAATTTAGATATTTAAATATAATGGAATTTATTCCTGAGTAAATACCTGAATATATATTGTTATATAAGTGTCAGGACAGTTATGAGGTATTGCTTGAAAAAACAGAAAATAAAGCACCTCTTTGTGAATTGTATGTCACAACACCTAAAAAAATCCCAATTGTTTTGAAGAAAATAATTTCCACTTAACTAGTTTATGTGCCCAGCAGAAGCTCCCATTCCCTCTGTAAACCGCCTGCCCTGCAGCCCACACCATGAAGAATGCTCGACTCCTGACTTGTTTTCTTTGATGGCGCTTGCATCTTCCTCAGCGGTAATGCTTAAATTCCAAGCCTCTCCCTGCACGGGATTAACTGTATCCTGCTTCATTTGTGGCAATGGACTTTCACTGTATTATGAATGTCATTTCATGCAATACTTTTCCCCATTAGGATTGAATATATGTTCACTAACATTTAATTAACATATCTAAAGCTGAGTTATCATTTTATGGAACGTATATTCAAGATGTATAAGAACATGTACTTTGTGACATAGTACGTGACAGAAATGTTGATGCGATTAGGAAAAACTTACTCAGTTCATCGTTATTGTTGTCTAGTTGATTCTGAGTCATGGCGACCCCATGTGTGCAGAGTAGAACTGCTCCATAGGGTTTTCAAGGCTGTGACCTTTCAGAGGCAGATCAACAGACCTTCCTTCTTAGGTGCCTCAGGGTGGTTCCAAACCACCAAACGTTCGACTAGTAGTCTAGTTCTTAACTGTTTGCGCCACCTGGAGATTCCATGCAGTTCATAACTTCACTTAAACTTTCATAGTTATTAAGGAATCTATGCATTGAACATTAATGGCTGCTACTGTTACATATGTCAAATGCTACTAACCTTATAAAGGAGGAGACATCCAGTCATCAGTGCCTCCTAATGGAAATACCCAACACCACATAGGAAGTAATCTTGGAAAAAATAATAAAGAAGCAGAACTTGAATCTGATTAAGCCTCTAGATCTAGCTACCAATTTATAGGAAATGCACTGGACAGAGGAATGTGTTAAACTGTGCCACAGGGATAAAATCAGCAAAATCTAGACTGTGGGAGTAATCCACAGGACAGTTTAGTTACTTCAGTAAATAAATCACAAGGAAAAATAAACAAGAAGAAAAAATGGATTGGAACCTATATATTAAAAGAGATATAAAAAAATGTATCAACTAGTTGCAATGTAGGGACTTTATTTGAATCCAGATTCCAGAATTTAAAAATGTAAAATAATGTTTATGACTTTTAACAGACAATTGAAAATTTGAAAACTGATTGCAGATTTGATCATACTAAGGAATTAGGTTTTAGGTGCAATAATGGTTTTGTGATTATATTCTAAAAATAGTTGCAGACTGTAATATGTTTTGGATTGGCCTCAAAAGAATACAGAAGTAGGGAAGTGGATGGGGCTGAGGAGGGGGCACAAGTGGCCGTGGATTAGTCATTGTTGGGGCCAGGTGATGGATACATGGTGGTTCATTATACTGGTTGTTTACTTTTTGTATATTTGAAATCAGTCAATCAAAGATGAAAAAAATATTACGGTCATTTATGATGGTAATGGTGGTTCAGTTGATGCTATAATTACATGAAACCAAAAAAACCAAACCCCTCCCCGTTGAGTTGATTTTGACTCCTAGAGACCCTATAGAACAGAGTAGATATGAAATGAGTTACAATAAATATAATCACCATGTAAGAGGACAATATTGCACTTTCTTTTGACTTTTATAGTAATATTAATTGCCAATATAATGTCTTAATTGTACATGATATTTCTGTATTGTGTTTTTTAACAATGTGATAAAGTATGTGTTACAGATTTTGTAAGAGCCCGGTGCTCATAAGAATACTTCGTAAATTCCATCTTAACAAAACAGTTAATTAAATCAAATGATTCTGCTGAAAAATAAAGGAAATGGTAAAATCCTTATGAATTAATAAGTCCAATTTTTTCTTTTATAAACACATTTAGTTAATATTAATTTTGTTTGAATTTTTTGTGGGAATGTTTTTCTCTTGTAATGCTAAATTAGTATAAAACAAACAAGCAAAAAAAAAAAAAAAACAAAAACAAACCGGTTGCCATTGAGTCAATTCTGACTCATAGGGACCCTGTAGGACAGAGTAGAACTGCCTCATAGGATTTCTAAGGAGCAGCTGGTGGATTTGAACTGCTGACCTTTTGGTTAGCAGCCATAGCTCTTAACCACCACGAGGGCCCCAGGTTAGTATAGGAAAAGGTAAAAGACCCTTTTTATATATGTAGAAAGTTGGAGATTTATGAAATTTAAAAAAGAAAGAGGTTTTAAAATGCAACTTCTTTATCTGAATTTAATTGGTATATCTATAACACTGAACATTTTAGAATGTTGAATTACGAAGATGAGATACCTGTGTAGAAATTATATACTACCTTGGAGCCTTGATGGAGCCCTGGTGACACAGTGGTTAAGAGCTACAGCTGCTAACCAAAAGGTCGGCGGTTTGAATCCACCAGCTGCTCCTTGGAAACCCTATGGGGCAGTTCAACTCTGTCCTATAGTGTCGCTATGAGTCAGAATTGACTCAATGGCAACAAGTTTTTTTTTTTTGTTGTTTAGAAATGCTGTATTTAATGCTGCTCTCAATATTCTCATTTAAATGATGATTATATTTTGTTTCTGTTTTAGGAGAGTCTAAGAAAAAGCTTGTATGTTCAGTGTGCAATAAAAAATGTTCTTCAGCATTAAGCCTACAGGAACATAGAAAGGTCAGTAAGAAAGGTTAATGCTCATGGCAATACAAAATCTTTGAGTTATTCCTAGTGTCCGCCATTTAAATTTTTTATTGATTTTTTTGTATTATAATGTCGGAGCTTTGTCATTAATTTAAGTACTAATGTAAGCTAGAATGCAAGACTAATATGCAGAAAAGTAAGCTGATGCAAAAGGATATTTTGGGTTGCTTATTATTGTTCAGAGTTAGAAATATTGCTTCATTGCAAAGTGCCATGTGTAGCTAAATCCTTTGCCTGCAACACCTGTGGTATCAAGCGTCATCAGTTGATGGTTGCCCAGGAAATAACAAATTAACAGGGAAAGTATATGTTTTTGTGGATTTGTATAATGTGGTGGGCAGTGGCATTTAGCTATTCAAAGGAAAGCACGTTATAATTAAGTCTCACACAACAAAGACAGGAGCTCTATTATTTTGAAAAGTCAAAAATAATGTACACATATATCAAAGTGTTGTTAACAGAGACCAATGAGTATATTAGGAGAAAATAGATTTAATGTATTTTGTAATAACTATAAAATTTACCAAGTTATTACTATGATATGAAAAGTTAATCTGAAAAATAAATGGCAGTTGTTAACTCTAACAACATTAGCAACTAGCTGATAAAATTTATAATAAAATAGAATAGAATTTAGATTTTTCATTAGTATCATGGCAAGATCCAAAAAAATTATGTTGTATTATTACAGTCAAGATATAAATGATCCTTTCCTAATTTTACATATTTTTTTCAGAATATCTGGAAGCATATAATTTTTAAAAAATTATTTCTCTTAGTCATTTTCTACCAAAAGAAAAGGGAAATGGCACTAGAGAAAGTAAAATGTTACTTTTGTTGTGGTTTGAGAAGGGAGTTTTACCTTTTTGTCAATATATAAATATATGTGTTGCAAAATAACTTGACAGTCCTAAAATTCATATGTTATTTAATCCAGTAGTTCCAACCCGTGTGCTGTGGATTTAACCTGTAACATATGAGATAGTTAAGGTGTTGTGTTGGTATACCCAGAGGTTATATCCTATGTGCTGAGTGATTTTGATCTATAGGGAGGAAAAAGAGAGTGGGCACTGGACTGAGCGTCAGCACACTGGCTTTCGTCTCTATCTTAGGTCAGTAACCTTCCATGGGACATTGGCCCTCTGTTTTCTTATTTATGAAATGGGATGTTGACCTGATAAGTGTTTTTAGATTTGTTTTCTGAGTGCCATGAAACTATTTTTCAAAGAAATGTCAAGCAGAGCTCCATCCAGATGCCTCTTCTTTAGGCCTCTCCCCTTCCTACTCCCCAGCAAGCCTACAGCTTCTGAAGCAGACCCCTCGTTTCTGAGACAGAGAATTAAGTTCACTGGAATGGAGGATTTCTAAACCTCCATTTGGTTTTAAAAGTCTGTGATTACTTCATTAATCCATTTTGTTCTTAGAGATTGAATTTTAAGAGATTCTACCAAATTTAAAATTTTACTGACTAGAGTGTTTCAGCAAAGATGGCAGTGGAAAATATTTTTGAAAAATTTTCTTTTGTCCCATTTATTTTCTTCATGATAAACTAATTTTTTCCCTTGGAAGAAATGTCTTAGTAAGACGAAATCTCACCTCCTGCTCCTGAAATACGGTAACTATAGCTTAGTACCTCCTGAGTGGTCTCTGCAGAATGCTAGTAACTTGTTAGCTCAGTGCAACACTTCCTCCCTTACCTCGTTGCCCCTCCAGCTTAGCCTGTCTGAATCCACATGCAGGTTTTAGTGACTCCAGTTTTGACTCTCTTCATTGCCGTATTTGGGTATATATAATGTCTAATAAGGAGCCCTGGAGTCTCAGTGGTTAAGAGCTTGTCTGCTAACTGAAAGATTAGCATATGATGTCAGATGGGTCTTGGCCAAAAGCAGAGAATGCCAGAAAGATGTTTATTTGTATTTTATTGACTATGCAACGGCATTCAACTGTGTGGATCATGACAAATTACAGATAACACTGTGAAGAATGGGAATTCCAGAACACCTAACTGTGCTCTTGTGGAACCTGTACAAAGACCAAGAGGCAGTCATTGGAACAAAACAAGGAGATACTGTGTGGTCGAAAGGCAGAAAAGGTGTGTGTTAGGGTTGTATCCTTTCACCATACTTATTCAGTCTGTGTGTTGAGCAAATAATCTCAGAAACTGGACTATCTGAAAAAACGTGGCATCAAAATTGGAGGAAAACTCATTAACAAGCTGTGATATGCAGGTGACACAACCTTGCTTGCTGAGAATGAAGAGGACTTGAAGCACTTACTGATGAAGATCAAAGACTACAGCCTTCAGTATGGATTACACCTCAACATAAAGAAAACAAAAATCCTCACAACTGGACCAATAAGCAACAAACAGAGAAAATACTGAAGCCGTCAAGGATTTCGTGTTACTTGGATCCACAGTCCACGCCATAGAAGCAGCAGTCAAGAAATCAAAGGACGCATTGCATTCGGCAAATGTGCTGCAAAAGACCTTTTTAAAGTCTTAAGAAGAATGATGTCACTTTGAAGACTAAGGTGGTCCTGACCCAAACCACAGTGTTTTCAGTCACCTCATATGCATGCAAAAGCTGAACAATAAATAAGGAAGACCGATGAAGAATTGATGTCTTTGAATTATAGTGTTGGTGAAGACTATTTAATATACCATGGACTGCCAGAAGAAGGAACAAATCTGTCTTGGAAAAAGTACAGCCACAATACTCCTTAGAAGCGAGGATGATGAGACTTCAAGTATTTTGGTTGTGTTGTCAGGAGGGACCAGTTCCTGGAGGAGGACATCATGCTTAGTAAAGTAGAGAGGCAGTGAAAGAGAGGAAGACCCTGAATGAGATGGGTTGACACAGTGACTACAATCAAGCATAGCAACAGTTGTGAGGATGGCGCAGGATAGGGCAGTGTTTCGTTCTGTTGTACATAGGGTCACTATGAGTCGGAATCAACTTGACCGCACCTAACAACAACAATCTTTACAGAAGCCGACTGCCACATCATTCTCCCTAGGGAGTGGCTGATGGATTTGAACTGCTGACCTTTCTGTTAGCAGAAAGCCCTTTAACCACTGTGCCACCAGGGCTCCTTATAGTATAGTGTAGTATGGTATAGTATAGTATGGTACGGCATGGTATGGTACGGCATAGTATGGTCCGGCATAGTGTATATTACATACTATTCTATGTTACAGTAGAGTATATTATGAATCTTTTGGAAAGTTGTTTAGTTTTGGGATTGAAATTATAAATTATACTTTGATTTGCTGGAAATTTTATAAAATATGTTTACTTAGCATTAAAAACCCATTGCCGTTGACTCAATTCTGACTCTCAGCGACCCTGCAGGACAGAGTGGAACTGCCCGGTAGGGTTTCCAAGGCCGTAAATCTTTATGGAAGCAGACTACCACATTAGGCATTATTAAATAGTATTACCTGTCATTTTCACTTTAAATCTGATTGTTTATTACATCTCCTTAGGAGTTCTGAAAATACTTTTGGCCTGAATTTCTCACTGTCAGTAATATAAAACTTGTTGCCGTCGAGTCAATTCAGATTCATAGCAACCCCATAGGACAGAGTAGAACTGCCCCATAAGGGTTCCAAGAAGTGACTGGTGGATTTCAACTGCCGACCTTTTGGGTAGCAGCCAAACGCTTAACCACCAGGGCTCAGTCAATGCAAAAATGCCTCCATGTACAGTAAATACGCCATGATTTTGGGAATGCCAATTCAATTCAACTTTTAAAAATGTCCCGTTCTTCAGAAGCCACGAGAGTTAGTGGACTATTACAAGTACTCTTCTGCAGTTTTTTATTTAACAGTTACCACTTTACATATGAAATAGTAATTTTTTAAAGTTTTAAACAATCAAAATTTAACATTATAAAATAAAACAAATAATTTTTCATTTATGGCTCAGAAGGAATATCATGTTTTTTTAGAATGTCATTTGTCATCATCAAAATTAAATGTTCTACATTACAGAATCAGAGTTTAAGAGTATAAATCTGCCCTTACTATTTTAAAGAAATATTACACATCACATCATTGCTCCCCAAACCTAAGTGTCCAGTAGAAGCCACTGTGAGGGTATTTGGTGATTGAAGAGCATCTCTGTGTCTCAGAAATGAGGGTTCTGCTTCAGAAGGCAAGATGAGGGAAAATGGGCTTGCTCCCTAATAAATGGCTGTCTTGGAAGAGGGTGGCTTTAAACTGTCTCTGGCCAGAAGTTTATCTTCTGCACTGAGTGGTACTTATGCTCCGAGTGCTTGTGCCGGCCATTGTGTAGAGTTCACACTGCTTTCTGAGGATCCTTGGGACTTTCTGGACTCCATAGACCCCCTGATCAAGATTAGATACCACTGTATCTAAGCAGGAGTACAAGCCAGACTCAAGTGGCTTCTACCTTCTTCTTGCTTTTCACAACCGAGTTTGCTCACTTACCACGAGTCAGATCTGACAGTAACAGAAGGCGGGTTGGCAGCCTCAGACCTGCCAGGTGTGTGGGCATAGAATTAAGACCTGGGATCTTTTAGCTTTGCCTCAGCTTCTGTTTCCATGCTTTCCTTCCTCTTGTCACCCTCCCTGCCTTGAGTTCTTCCATGACACCCAGCAAGGCAGCCTTCACCAGGGCACCAGCCCAGTCTTCCACCTCTTACTCATGTGCTGTAGCAGTTCAGGGTCTTCTGCCTTGATCCTCACTCACGTGTCCCTAGTTATTCTGCAGGGCTAACCCCAATATCTTGGCTTCCTGTAGAGGGGTCTTTACTTATCTGGGTTTTAGTATTGTGAGCTCTACCATTAATGAAGCAGAAGCAAAAACGTGACTTTACCAATAACATTTTTGAATTTTCTGCAAAACAGTTTGATGCTCTTGTTCATTGGGATGATCGGCATTTCTAATAAAGGTTTCATGCAATACATTCCTGTTAGAATTGAGTATGTTATTTATGATAATAAACTCAACTTCTGTCTTTCATACCACCTGTTCAGTTTCTACAGTGTAGTATGTGGGAGAGAAAGAGCTAAATTTAATATACAGTTGTAATATTTATATTAGCTAGTTGTTTGCTAAAGTTACGTTCTGCCTTATTTATTATAGTTTTTGATCTTTTATTTTTACTGTGGTCCTCCTAATATGTGAGATTTTTTAAATTTTTTTTTATTGTACTTCAGGTGAAGGCTTACAGAACAAATAGTTTCTCATGAAACAGTAGTACACATGTTGTTTTATGACATTGGTTAACAACCCCACAACATGTCAACCCTCTAACTTCTCAACCTTTTTTTTTTTTGGTGAAAATACACGTAGCCAAAGATACACCATTTCAAAAATTTCTACATGCACAGTTCAGTGACATTGACTATGCTTTTCCAACTGTGCTGCTATTCTCACTTAAGATGAAGGCTCACAGAACAAAATAGTTTCTCATTTAATAGTTACTACACATGTTGCCCTATGACAATGGTTAACAATCTCACAACACATCAACAATATTCTTACTCAGCCTTGGGTTACCTATCACCAGCTTCCTTGTCCTGTTCCACCTTCTGGCCCTTGTCACTGGACTACTGTACCTCGTTAGTCTCATTTGGTTTTACGGGGCTATCCACTCCCAGGCTGAACAGTGAACCTCGGAGATAACTTCACTACTGAGCTAAAGGGGTGTCTGGGGGCCATACTCTCGGGGTTTCTCCAGTCTCCTTTAGGGCAGTAAATCTGGTCTTTTTTTTGTGAGTTAGAATTATGTTCTGCATACTTCTCCAGCTCTGTCCGGAGCCCTCTGTTGTGATCCTGGTCAGAGCAGTCAGTGGTGGTAATGTCTGAGTTTTTTACTGTAAGCTAAATGCTTTTCAGAATATGTATCTTCTGCTCTTTCACTTGTTTTGTTTTGTACTATATACTTTTTAAGTTTAAAATATTGTTGGCTACTGTAAAAGGAACATTATACCTGAAGAATACATATTTCCCAGTTTAAACCTGTGTGTAACAAAAGAGTTAGTATATAGTGGATATAATTTTTACAGAAAGTATGAATTTAACACACATTACGTAGGTCAGCTATGTTACATGTTTAAATGGTATGTGACTTTATGTTTTATTTTAATGATATATTTTTATGCTCATTGCTTTTTCAATTTACCTATGATAGTGAGAACCAATTAGGGCAGAGTTATGTAGTTTGGGATACTAAAGTAGCAAATGTCTGTACGTGTATATTTTTACTTGAGCACTGTGTAACTTACTTAAGTTTTGACAGTTGATTTAAATGCTCCTTTTGCAGATTCATGAGATATTTGATTGTCAAGAATGCATGAAGAAATTTATTTCAGCTAATCAGCTAAAACGTCATATGATCACCCACTCAGGTAAAATACATACGTTTTCCTTTATATTGAAATTCCTACAAAAGAGTTCCGTTGTCATTTTTATGAGCTCTAAGAGTGATAATCAGGAGACATGGCTATTAGCTTTAGCTTGGCCATTAACTCGCTGTGTGATTTTGGACAAGTTACTTAACTTCTGTAGACCTCAGTTTATTTATAGAGAAAACATGATTGGACTAAATTATATCAGAGATCTTGAGTCACCGTTTAATTTGTCACTTACTCCTCCTTGAGCCTCAGTTTCTTTATTCTTCGTGTATGAAATGGGATACTGGTGCCGACCTTTCAGGATTGCTGTGAAGGTTGAACGAGATTGTTTACGTGCCTAGCATTTAGTAGGGATTCAGCAACTATAGTTTCTACTCATTTTCCTTATTCAGTTATTTATAAATACTGTGGTCATTTGAATAATTCAAGTCTGCATTTCTGGATACTTTTATAACTAAGGTAGTAATAAATGTTAGTGAGAAAGTTATTATAAATACACGTTGAGAATGCTAGTTTTTAAAGCCATAATTTCATTTTCAACAAGTTTGAATATATCTGTTTTACTTAAACAGAATTGTGTCTACTCATTTTTCACAGAAAAACGACCCTATAATTGTGAGATTTGTAATAAGTCTTTCAAGCGGCTTGATCAAGTGGGTGCTCACAAAGTAATACACAGTGAAGATAAACCTTACAAATGCAAGCTTTGTGGAAAGGGATTTGCCCACAGAAATGTTTACAAGAATCACAAGAAGGTAAAAACTTTTTTCTTTTCTTTTCTTTTTTTTTTACTAATTTGCTGGTATGATTGCCATTACTTGTCTTTTAAAGAAGTTTTTATATGTTTAGGACATGCTGTACAAAATATAGCAATTAGGGAAGATCTGGCTTCTACTTTCTCACCACTTACTCAGGCCAGAACCCTTTGCATCTGGCTTCTCTCTTTCTTTCTTTATTGAACTATTCTCCTCACATCCAGAGTGTTGTCCAGTGTTTTCCAAACTTGGAGCCACTAAACCAATTTAGTGGGCTGTGGGGCTGTACTAATTGCTAAATCTTCATTCTCTTCCCTGCCATAAAATTACCTTTTTACCATTTATCTTTGGTGTTCTTATTTCACTTGACTAGTTCTGCCAATTTCTTTGAATATTTCCTTGGTCTCTCCTCCCTCAAAGGGAGTATCAGATTGTCCTGGATGCTTCAGCTGTGGATCTCTTCTGTGTTCTCTTTCCCTCAGAAATGTCAGCTACATCCATGATTTTGGCTATCAACCCTACCCTGATGATTCTTCTTTAACCCTAAGCTTCAGACTCATATTTACAACTGTTACTCTTTTGACGTGATGAATTAAGCATGCCCTAAATTGATTCTTTCATTCTTTGCCCCAGATAACTTCTTTTTTGGAGTTTCCCATTTCTGTTAATGACAAAAACACATAATTATCCCAGTCTCCTTCTTTAGCCTTAGCCCCTTTATTAGATGCCAAATCATAAAGATTCTGACTTCTACATTATCTTTTCATCTTCACAAATATACCTTCCTTTACCATTCCAATGCCTTGATTATTTCCCACCTGGATCACTTTAATATATATCTAATTAGTCTATTTGCTGTCTATACTTCTCCTTACAATCCAGTCTACCAGTTCAATTGTTCCAAAGCACAACTTTGCTATATCATTTTCATACTCTAATATTGTAAGTAGATTTCTAAGCTGTGGTACATATACCATAGCCTGTCCTTCAGAGTCATTTTTAGGAGCTCTAAGAGTAGTAATCAGGAGACATGACTGTTAGGTATGGCTTGGCCATTAACTAGGCTTGTGATTCTGGACAAGTTACTTAACTTCTGTAGACCTCACTTTATTTATAAAGAAAAGATGATTGGACTTACATTGTGACCTCAACCTACTTTTCTAGCTTTGTATCCTTCTATTGTCTTCACGAACCATACCTAAAAATACTTGCTAATTTGCCTGCATTCAGCAGGAATTCTCTACCTTCCCCTTCCTCTTTTCTCTTCAAGTTATAGTCTCTCAGTTTCCTCTGTTGATTGTTTTTTTACTTCTGACGCTTCCTTTACTCAAGTTTTTGTTTCAGAAATTATTTGTTTTATCTTATCTACTTTGTGTAGATAATGATGTTTGATTTGAAATCAGAAGTTTGTCCAAAGATGTTCAGCATCTTAGAAATGTATATAAGATGTACCTTTGATGTGATTAAATATTTGCATATTGGTTTTGGTTGATATATTTTAGTATGTCATTAAGTGACATGCATATAGTCTCTTTTATAAAAGAATTTTTTACTCATTTTTTCACTCTATTACATTGGAAATATAATTATTTCAGTATTTCTTGGTACTTTACAAAGATATCATTTTGATCTTTTTGAAATCATTTTTTAAATTGTGATATTGAATACTTGATGTATTTTTTTAATCTATAAAGTAAAATAAAGTAGATTTACCAAAGGATAAACAGGATTGATTGATAGTGTCCCAATCATCTCTGCCTAGTTTCTTGCTGACCCTCCTTATTTTTAACTCAAGCGTCATATGTTCAGGGCAGGAGCATATTCATTACTGCTGCATTGGAATTACATGACTGTAAAAAATTATCTGGCTAGTTTCCTGCTTAGTCTCTGGAACCCTCCTTTCTTTGATGAAACTGATCTGCCTACATTTACGAGTTTTTCACAGTTTGGCTTATATTATATGCCGTATGGGAATTTGGCACAGGATCTTTGCACCATCTCTCATACTTTCAGCCATAAATCATATGAATGGTATAATGATGTCTTGGGAAGGATAGAAACAATGATGCTTGTAATTTCCAAAATGGAAAGTACATTCAGTCCTTCTACTGTAGACAAATGTACCTCACTGCGTTATGATCCTAGCGTGTATTTGGTATGTATTTGCAGGTATTTGGTATGATTACATGAAAATATTTAAAATGTTCTCCAGGCAGTCAATTTAAAAAAGCAAATCACCTTTTTCTGCCATCATTATTCATTAATAGCTAGCTATGAAACTGAAAAATAAGGGTATTCCAAGGAAAGCAGGAAAAAATAAATATTGAGAGTCAGCCTGATCTTTGTTTTATAGAGCATGCCCAGTGGTTGTTATTTTGCCATGGTTGCTGCTGAATTATTCGTTCGTTTTTTTGATTATGTGTAGCCTATGCATTTTTATTATACTTATTTTAGGTTAATTCTTCCCTTTTAATATTTAGATTTACTGGGTAAAGGAATGTTTCACTGTGGTTACGACAGTATACAGTGGAAATTTGAAGGGCTGTTTTATTTCTAAAACTTAATGCTTTTCATAATCTTGCCAGTTACATAGGCTCAGTGGGTACAGATTAGTTGTTTTCTCCTTCATCCTCTGACCTGATTCATTGTTGTAGTTTAGGATCTGCCTAAAATGAAGATCGTTTGTCTGCATCCAACCATGCTCTCATTCTTTAAATCACATTTGGGCAGATATTTCACAATCACAGGAAACTGGTCAATTAGTCTTAACTCTCTCTTTCACTGAGTATTGAACATTCCATGGACTGCCAGAAGAACGAACAAATCTGTCTTGGAAGAAGTACAGCCAGAATGCTCATTAGAAGCAGGGGTGGTGAGACTTTGTTTCACATACTTTGGACATGTTATCAGGAGGGACCAGTTCCTGGAGAACGATATCATGCTTGGTAAAGTAGAGAGTTAGTGAAAAAGAGGAAGACTCTCAACGAGATGGATTGACACAGTGGCTACAACAATGGGCTCAAACACAGCTGCAATTGTGAGGGTGGCGCAGGACCGGACACTGTCCTTCTGTTGTACATAGGGTCGCTACGAGTCAGAATCAGCTCGATGGCACCTAACAACAGCAACAACTGTCTTTGGTTCTCTATGAAATTTAATGCAAAACAAAATTTAGATAAGGTGTAAAATGCTTCCGTCTTCCTGCTGTAGATGGGTTACTGAGATGGACTGTGCAGTCTTGGATGCTGGAGCTGGAACCATAAGCTTGATGATGGGTATGAGTACAGAGGGGGTTTTCCTGATGAAGTCATAAACAAGCTCCTGGCAGGACAGGTGGTGTCTATTCAAATAAAGAACCTTTTCCCTTGATCCTTTGTATCAACGTTCCAGGGAAGAACTTTGAGGCCTATGAAGACATCTAATCACATCTTCTACTGACATAATTCCACTGGCCTCCCTTAGTAAAGTCTTATCCAGTGGTTTTCAAACTCTTGGCTGTGATCACTTTGTGGGTCTTCAGATCAATTTAGTGGGTCACGAATAGCCATTAAAACATAAAATATAAAGTAAGGGATAAGTTTTATTCAATGCATTTAATGAAATAATACATGCTTGTGTGTGTGTAAATATTGGATTTAGATATAAAAAAGTGTTTCTTTGGTTGTGGTCTAACAATTTGAAAGACACTGCAGATCATACTTTGCCTAGGTGAAATTTTATTAGCACTTAAAGAAAAGGACAAGTTTTTCCCTAAATACATCAGGGACTCACGTTCTAAAACCAGAATATATGGCAAAAATTTAACATAGTTAAAAACAAAACAAAACAAAATCCTTGAAAATCTCATAGAAAGGTGCCAAGTTGGAGACTGAGAGACATTCACTCATTAAATCCATCACAGCTACTTTTTCCTTCCACTTTGGATCACATTCTACGCTGCACTGTTCTAATTTTCTGAACCATTTCCCGTCCCTGGGATAAATATTTGACTTGCAGTTCATTCACTGCCAAATCAGTGATCGCTTTTTACTCTCTGACTTTAACGGAAGACCTCTCTCAGCTTTCTTCCACTCTCCTCTACTCCCCGACTGCCAAAGTAATTTAAGAGCCATAAACTAAAGACAGTAGATCCATAGGTATGGAATTTATGAGTCAAATAGTAAGTTTGTTTTAAATTTTAATTGCTCCTCCTTCACTTCCTTCTGAAAAAGCTCTGTTTCCACCAGGAGTATATGAAAGTGTGCTTTTATGTGCACCATCACCAACATTTGATATTATCAGTCTTTTTTATTGTTTCAGTTTGGGAGTTAAAAGTGACACCTGATTGTATTTTAAGAGTGATGGGTGAGATTGTGTTTCTTATAAGTTTATTTTCCATTTATATTCCTTCTGAGAAATGCTTGTATGAAATCTCTGTCCAATTTTCTGTTGAATTATCTGGCTGCTTTCTCATTGATTTCTAGAATGAATATTAATCCTTTGCTATTTTCGTTTCCTGTCCTTGCCCCCACTTGTCAGTTGGTATCTTTTGGATGAGGAAGTTTTACATTTTTATTTTGTCAAATGTGACAGTATTTTTCTTTATGACTTTTGAGTTTTTGTCTTCTGTAGATATTTTTCTTACTCCGAGATAATACAAACATTCATCGATGCTTTTTAAAGTTATATTAGTTCCTTTTTATTAGCATTTTAATCCATCTAGAGTTTATTTTTAGATATGGAATGAGATATTGATTCATAAAGCCACTATTACCATATTGCTGAATACCCATGTAGGTCCATTTGTGGACTCCATTCTGTTCCATTTAAATTGTTTCTGTGGTAGTATCATACTGTTTTAATAATATCAGTTTATAATGTGTTTTGATATCTGCTGGGCAAGGTCTCCTTTGTAGTTTTCCCTTTTCAAAATTCTTTTAGATGGTGTTCTGGGCAGATTAACGTTGACAAACACACTTCTGACCACTGCTTCCCTTTAGTTTTCCTGGGGATCAATATCC